TTGAGCCAACGTTTTGGTTGCTAAGCAAGAGCGTTGTTAAGTGAGTTTCACCACATTTTACAAGTTGGCCATGCCCACCCGGTCACATGGCTTGCAAGCCACTCCCACAAAGCAGGCCACACCTACAGAAGAGGTTCTAAAAAAAATTGGAACCCACCACTGGATCTCTGCCACTGGAGTGAGGGGGGGCGGTATCTGGAAGTACAAGATCACAACTCCTAAAATTCAAAGTTGGCCTACCACTGGGACTTATCTGGGGAATTCATAGGGAGGTCAAAAGGAGGCGTCCTTTTCATTTTTTGTCTCTAGCATCTGAAATCGTATGCAAAAAGAACAGATCAAGGCTCTGCTACTCCAGCACCTCAAATCTCACAGGGATGAGAAGAAAAAACCTTGTGCTGTGCTGGCCCCACTATTCAATAGCAATGCAGCCTCTGAACATGGGTAGTTCCATGAAAACACGATGATTAATGGCCATTGGTAAATGCACAGAGACAAGCTTTTTTTGAATCTGCTTTAAAGCCATCTAAGTGATTGGCCTTCGCCACTATTTTGTGGCAATAAAATTCACTGGGCAAAGAGGCATGTCCTTCAGCATGCCTCAAATCTCATGCCCATCCATTTAATTGGATGGGCCATAATTCTAGCATGATGTGAGAGGGGTAAAAACTTTCTCTCTCTCCCCTCACCGCCCCCCTTCCATTTCCCCCCCCCCCACATCCAATGGTCTCAAAGACAATATTACATGAGAGAGAGAAAGGAAGGCTGTAAACTCTCCTGACAGCCATTTAAATGTATACAGTATTTATATATTTTAGTTTCTCCTACTAACAGGTCTCTTAACTTAAGAGCAGGCAGCATGCAGCCCTTCAGATGGGGAATCATGAGAGATTACAAGTGTTATAAAATCTGGAGGGCTTCACGCCTACTTCAATTTCATCTATCATTTAATTTTCATTTCTAAATATCTTCTAGTTGTGAGAAGACAAGAACGTAGCATTTGGATAATTCAACAGTTATTGCGGTACCATTAATCTTCTGTCCCTTTCAATTTTCTTAATGCCGAAATGTTTTTATTTAACCACTGCTACCGACAAATCAACAAACTCAATTAATTTGCCCCATTATGATCTTGTCCCAAGGTAGCCATAAGAATGAAAAGGGTTGGTGGTCAAGCCTCGTCTAGTTCAAAGTTTTATTCCTATAGAGTTGAACCAGATGCTTCTGCAACACAATGGTACCTTGTGCCATTTCCTCCAGCAACTGACAACTTGACAGCTTTACTGGAAATCACGCAGCTGCCATGGCGACAGGTAGTTCTCACGTTACAACCATTCATCTAGTGAAGTTACAACAGCGCTGAAAAAAGTGACTTACAACTGGTTCTTGCACCTCTGACTGTCAGAGCATCCCCACTGTCACCTAGTCAAGATTAAGTTGCCTGACAACCAGCATGTATTTAGGATCGTGTCTTGAGGTCATCGGGTAGCCATTTGCAACCCTTCCCAGCTGGCTTCCAACCAGTTTCAGTTTCAGTTTATTAGACTTGTATGCCGCCCTATTCCCAAAGGGGACTCAGGGCGGCTAACAAACCAAGAGGGAATAGGGACAATACAAACAAAACAAGCAAGACAAAAAAACCAAAATACACAAAAACAGATTAAAAAACTCCTCAACAGTCACAACAATTCGAGTGGGGCTGGGAACTCATCAGCCCCAGGCCTGCCGGAACAGCCAGGTCTTAACGGCTTTGCGAAAAGCCTGAAGGGTGGAGAGGGTCCAAATCTCCATGGGGAGATCGTTCCAAAGGGTAGGAGCAGCCACAGAGAAGGCTCTCCCCAGGGGGGTCGACAGTCGACATTGGCTAGCAGATGGAATTCGGAGGAGGCCTAATCTGTGGCATCTAATT